ATCTTTTGACCTAGTTGTAAAATATTAAAGAAATGTGACATTTCTAGCATCCAGAGGTGACCCCAGTGCTGAAGAGGTGAATGGCATTGCTTTTCAGCTTCATCTGTGGTACATTAAAAAAGTCTATGACATCTTTCCCATTTTCTATTTCAAACATACTGATCTTAAAATGCTCATATTTAACCCAAACTTTAAAAGTGGGTTCTTATAATTAATTCTGTTACTTGGTAAAAATTTAGACCTTAAGACTTTTATACCTTTAGATGTATAAGTTTAGATTGATTCCTAGTATTTTATATGTACTCTGTAGTTTTAAAAAACAATAATAATGATCTTGGGCTGTGCATTTATACGCAGGATACTGAACAAGGATTCTATCAAAAAAACTAAAGTTAAAGTCAAATCCATGTTACTCAAATTATCAAAACCTTTATTAATAGCTGGTGTGTTGAACAATAAAATTAAACTTGTACCCCTACTGTCCACGTGTCCCCACTGAGACCAGTAATATGCCTTCTCTATATAATTAGAGTTACAAATGAATACTCTATTTTGAATTTCAAATGAAAGAACCAAATTAACAGGGATAGTTGGAAAGGAAGAAACTCTTCCACTGTCTACCTCTTGATTAGTTTCTGAAAGTATTATGCTTTCAGCAATAAAGGAAAACAACCTGACAAGTACCTGTATTACGTTTGCTTATTCTCTGGAGCATTTTGCAACCCACTGGGAATGGATCAGTATTTAATTTTGGATAGAGTAGCGGCATTCCACTGACACCTCAGCTGGGTATCACAGGGCTGCTCTCTGTCATATGTATTAAGCATCTGTAGGACTTCTGTAGCCGAGCTTCAAAGCTGTTCATAAGTATCAATCTAAGTGGTTTCTATTAAACCACACAAATATATATACGTCTTATGGTCAAGGAAATGAGAGCCCTTGTTTGAAAAAAACCGGCCCCTTGGCTCAGATCGCATCTCTGTCGTGAGTTTATATGTTTGCTTGTGTTTTTAAATTACTGAAAATTAAAGTCATTTTCGAAGAGTTGGCAATCCAAGGAAATAATGGGAAAAAAAGTAAATTGAAGATTCTCTCAATGTGTAGTAAAAATGAACTATGAATCAGGAGTTATTTTAGTACCTACTGGTGTGAGATTGTAGGCAACTCACTCTACGTGCTTTAAAGGATCATTTAATACCATAAAAAGTGGCATTTTCTCTTCAGCCTCAACCCAACTGAAAGATGTAAGTCACCCCAGAGACCCTGTAAGATCAGAGTAAAAGTTACCCAGCTGCCTGAATATATGAAAATGCTTAACTATTGCTCAAGGGTGCTGTATACATCAAGATGCGGTAAGAATTTAGTATTATTATTTTTAATACCTTTTCACACTGGCCTAGTCTACAGGGGTGACTTTTTTTCTGGGATCTCCAGGTAGGATAAAGAAAAATCAAGGATGTTTCCTTTTAATAGTGTAATGATTCAGTTATCTCCTTAACATTTCTGGGGGCACTTCAGTCAACCCTATAACCAACCTAAAAATCAAGGCTGATTCATATTCTTATCCTGAGATACTGTTTTAGCAAAGAAGGAACTGAGGTGTATCTTGGTATCAGTTGATGGAATCTCTTACTGAGATTAGGATAGAATTTTTAAGCAGCTGCCCCAGATTATCAAGTTTCTCTCTATTGGCCAATCATTTCGTTTGAATATCAGTTCACTGAACATTGTCAATTCCTATACAACACACATCCTGGGTCTATACCTTCTATACCTGTTTCCCACATCTAAATCTTCAGTACCTACTGCAATGGCTTACTTACCAGAGGCACTCAGTAAATGTTTGTGAATGAGTTTACTCAAGTATCACAGCAAAAATGGATAGACAGGAGCACATGGGGGGGAAAGCAGCAAAGAAGGCAATAGGACCCAATGGCATTCCCAATGAAGAAACCCCAGGGGATCTGGTTTCCCAAGACACTATTAGCAATAACTTGATATGACCTCAAATGGGATGATGAAAAATAACTTTCTAACAAATGAGAGGAAAAGCCACATACTGGGAGAAAATATTTGCAAAAGATGTATCTGATAAAGTACTGTTATCCAATACACACAAAGCACTCTTAAAACTCCATAATAAGAAAATGAACAGCCCAATTAAAAAAAAAAAATGGGCAAAAGACTTAAGCAGACACCTCACCAAAGAAACAAAGATCGCAAAAAAGCACATGAAAAGATGCTCAATGTCATATGTCACTAGGGAATTTTAAATTAAAGTAACAACGAGATACCACTACATGCCCATCAGAATGGCCAAAAATCAAAACACTGACAACACCCAATGCTGGTGAGGATGTGGAGCAAGAGGAGCTCTCAACCGTTGCTGGTGGGGATGCAAAATGGTGTAGCCACTTCAGAGGACAGTTTGGCAGTTTCTTAGAAAACTAGACATACTCTTACCATAGGACCCGGCAATTATGCTCCTTGGTGTTTACCCCGAGCAGAGAACACATCCACCTAAAAACTATGCCTGGATGTTTATAGCAGCTTTATTTATAATTGACAGACTCTAGAAGCAACCAAGATATCCTTTAGGAGGGGAGTGGGTAGACTGTGGTACGTCCAGAAAAAGAAATATTACGCAGCGCTGAAAGGAAATGAGCTGTCAAGCCACAGAGAGACACGGAGAAACTTTCCGTGCACATTTTTAAGTGAAGGAAGCCAATTTGAAAAGGTTACATACTGTATGATTCTAAGTATACGACATTATGGAGAAGGCAAAACTATGGAGACAGCAAAAAACCAACCAACCAACCAACCAACCAACCAACCGGCGGTTACCAAGGGGTTGAACTGCAGGAAGAGAGGGATGAATGGGCAAAACACAGAGGATATTTTTAGGCTGGTCAGACTGTTCTGTATGATACTGTAATGGTGAATACGTTTCATGACCATTTTGTCCAAACCTGTAGAATGTGAGATACCAATAGTGACCCTAATATAAACTGTACGCTTTGGACAATGACAAAGAGTCAGTCGTTATCATGGGTTCATTACAACAAATATGACACTTTGGTGGGGCTCGTGGATAGTGAGCAGGCTGTGCGTTTGTGGGGACGGGGATAGGTGTGAGATCTCTGTACCTTCTGCTCAATTTTCCTGTGAACTTAAAACTGCCCCCCTCCAAAGTCTATGTAAAGAAAAATAGCTTGCAATACTTTGAAAAGAAAGTCCATATAAAACTTGCTTTTAGGTGTCTGCACTTTGTGTAATGTAACAACTACTGGGCTCTAAGAACTTACAGGAAAACATGTCCTCTCACTTAGAATCATATTTTTGTGCTTCAGATTTTTTAAAAGTTAAAAGTCACCTCCATGATGCCACTTGAGTTTATTCTGAAGATAACTTCAGGAAGATGTTGGGGAAAAGAATAAAAATGTGGGAGGGAGGGAGGAAACCTTTTTTCCTATAAAGAAAACCAGGGAGGTGATTCCCAACAGAGATCTGGGGGGAGGCAATGTGAACTCTGTAGTGGTTTATTCACCATTTTATTATTGGAAAGAACCTCCTCCCTCCTGAAATTTCTTCGGGCCAGATTAATACCAGGCCAGGCCATAGACATGTGGCTCCATTTACTGAACCACCTCCATTTACTGAACACCACACAAATTATATGTCCGACACTTTCTATGTGTTTTCTTTGGTTGTCTCAAGAACCCTAAAGAGACACCACTTTTCTTTTTTGACAATTCGTACATTAAAAACATTGAAACTCAAGAACACGATCTTTTCTGAGATTACACAGCTGGTGAAAAGAACAGCCAAAATTCCATTGCAAGTCTGCTCAACTCCAAAACCCAGTTCCTTTTCATGTGACTATGCTGTCAAGTTAGTTCCGAAACACGTGAACTCCTCCTGGAAGAATCATGTTGGCAAAGCTACCAACATCATCCTCTTACTACGTCTTACACTGTGTCTTCTGTTTCTGCTCATCAGCATATGTTCTCCCAGCTTCTGGCAAGAGAAGTTCTCACCTCTCCCTGATGCTAAGTCCAAGAGAGATGGCCTCAGGGCTGGCACACAACCCAAGTCTGGCCAATCAGTCTAGTCCAACCCTTGCATCTGGAGTGATCTGTCCCGGTGTGGACCAGTTAAAACTCCGTTCCAGTCTTGTGTGTGAACTAAAGGGAAGATGTGAAGTGGGAGACGCTGGCAGGCACCTTGCTGGTGTGAGGGGCTGAGAGTGGAGCCAACGCAGAGAAAGGAAGAGCTACAGAGACAGATCCCCGATAAGGTTGGCCATACTCTGAACCCCACAGGAAGCTAAGGCCTGCTCCTTTTGTCCTGGGAATTATATATTCATTTATTTAAAGATTTCTTTTTCACAACCCAACTAGGAGATGGACTTCCTATCTTTTGCATCCCTAAACAAGCCACTGCTCTATTACTTAAAAATGTATAGTTCAACATTGTCAATGGGATTGTAAAACGGTGTAGCCACTTTGAACAGCCCAGCAGTTCCTCAAAATGTTAAACATGGTATCCCATGAGTTCCAGTGAGACTCAGCAACTCCATTTCTAGGTGCTGAAAACGTACGTCCCCAGAAAATCTTATACCTGAATGTTCCTGCAGCAGCATGACTCCAGATAGCCCCAAAGCAGAAACAGCCAAAATGGCCACCAACTGATGGATTCTAAAAACGTGGCCTATCCACACAGTGGACTACCGCTCAGCAAGAAGAAGGGAAGGGAGTATCGACACGTGCCAATGTGGACAGACCTTGAGAACATGATGCTACCTGACAGAAGCTCGTCATGAGAAGACCCCATGTTGTACGATTCCACTGACAGGAAGTGCCCAGAAGAGGCAAATCAGAGACCGGAAGTAGACTAGTGGTGGCCGGGGGCTAGGGAGAGAGGGAGGACAGGGAGTGACCGCGAGCACTCACGGCAATGACAATGTTCTAGGTAAATAGTGAGGATGGGCGCGCGACTCTGGAGATGTACGAAAAACCACTGAATTGTATACTTTAAATTGGTGAAATTATATGGTGTGTGAACTCCATGTCCATGACACGGACATGGACATGTCCATGTCCGTGACTCTGTTTATAGTCTGACTTTTTAAAATGTCATTACATTTATAGTTTAAACCTTACTACAGAAAATAGAGAGTATATGAAGGATTTCCTCTAACCGTAGGATTCTAAATAGTCTTACATAAAACACTTTACAATAACATTCTTTTAATGAAGATTAAAAAGCATTAAGGAAATATTATAAAGGCAACAAAAACACCAAGAACAAAATTTACATTGTTTTGATACTTCGTGAGACATAATTAGATTTTTCTGTAAGCTTAGCTGAACAACTATACAGTAATATTTAAATAAATCCATTCGCTTTATACAAAAGAAACACCCTAACACAGTAGAGTCTCATAATGCCTTGGTGAACACCAATTTGATGCTTTAGGATTTTAATGTGTTAATAAATTTTCAAACTCAGGCAAGTTTCGAAATGTCTTCATACTGAATTCCTTCAACTCTGCGTCCTTTTAAAGGGCCCTACAAGTTAAAACAATTTAAAAAAAGATTAAAAACAGATACTTAAACACAAGAAAATGATACTACACTTAAAGATTCAAATGTGCCTTTTCCACACCCCCGTAATCCCATTCCGGTAGCCACCGATTCTCTGCGACTCTGAATTTTAAACTCCGCTTTGTCATAGTCATTACAAAGTGCCGTGACTTCTTCAGTGACATGTGAAATGTGTCATCACTACATGCTGTGGCAAGGACCTGCCGGCTGTTCGGTGTGTCCTCTGCTCCCTGGATGCTTTTCCCCTGGGTCCGTGTGTGGGGAGGTGCAGTCATAGGGGAACAGAAGTGACCATGCTCGGCCGTGTCCTGTGCGAAGCACACGGCAACTGTAAAAGCAGCTTGCGGATGGTGGTGGAGACATGAGCAGGAAGATTCCTGGGCTCACAAGTCACCCCTCCGAGAAGAGCTGTCCCCTGGTTGAGAACACCCATCATGGACTTCAAGAATGGGAGGTTAGATTCTACCGTGTTTGCGCTACTTGGGGGTTTCCTTCCTTTTCAAGAGCAGATATCATGTGAAGCAATTCAGATACTCGTACGCACACATGTTTGTCTAGCTTAGCTCTGACAGTTCGGCTGGACTTTATTACCAAAAATGAGCCCATCTTTAAATGTATTTGCTTTTTCTGTTCGTATCCGAAACAAAGGGAAAAGGGTTACGCTGGGTATTGGGAAAGAACACCTGTCACTAACGCGGATACAGCCAGGAACACAGAGGCAAGAGTGCGGGCCCTGAGCCCAGACTGACCAAATCCCACCTTCACAAGTGACTTGACCCTCAGTGCCCCCAGTGTCCCCAGGCAGGGAGTATTAACAGGATCTAGGTTCCTGGGGTGTTGCGAAATATAAATGAGTCACGAAAGAGCTTAGAACAGTATCTGGAACGTGACAGGAGTATGAGCTCAATAATTCTTGGCTCTTATTATTGCATCTTTTGGTTAAAATTTGAAAGCTGGTGTTCTCTTGCAATATATAAAATGATGATGATGATCACTCTAACCCTGAAGGGAGATTTCAGTGTTTTTTATTGTGAATCATACCCTCCCTTGATCCTTTTTATAGTACTACTCCTTTAACACAGGATAATGACTGTATCTGAAGGAAGTAAGTTCCCAGATAAAAGGCATGACTCAGATCGAATCTTTCATTATCAAGTACAAAGGCCTGTGGTCAAGTGCGCTTTTCCAATGATAAAATCTGGGGAATGAAAAGGGAGCCAGTCACTTGGTTAATCAGGCAGATAGGCTAAATGGCTGAGACAGTGTTTGAATAATTTGGTACCTACTTAAAAATCTGCTTAACAGGGGGCACCTGGGTGGCTCAGTGGGTTAAGCCTCTGCCTTCGGCTCAGGTCATGATCTCAGGGTCCTGGGATCGAGCCCCACATCGGGCTCTCTGCTCAGCACTGAGCCTGCTTCCTCCTCTCTCTGCCTACTTGTGATCTCTCTCTCTCTCTGTCAAATAAAATAAAATCTTTAAAAAAAAAAAAAATCTGCTTAACAAATGAGTAAATCTCGGGGCACCTGGGTGGCTCAGTGGGTTAAGCCTCTGCCTTCGGCTCGGGTCATGATCCTAGGGTCCTGGGACTGAGCCCCGCATCGGGCTCTCTGCTCAGCGGGGAGCCTGCTTCCTCCTCTCTCTCTCTCTCTCTCTCTGCCTGCCTCTCTGCCTACTTGTGATCTCTGTCAAATAAATTAAAAAAAAAATGAGTAAATCTCAAATATTTTGACGCTGATCTACAATTTCAGATGATAAAAAGATAATGATAGTGATAAAAATGGTATTTTGGAATGATATGATAAATGATAAAAAAGAACAGCAGGAGAAAGCACTTAGGAAGTTCGTGTGTTTCATGGCAATGATATGAAGGAACTGTGGGGACGCAGACCAGTGGACACCTGCTCACAGAAACATTAATTTTTTAAATGTGGCGAGCTCAAAAAAGAAGGAGCAGGTGGATTTCTCCTTTGAAACGTGCAGGCTGCTGGGCAGTCAAGCAGCCCTTCCAGCGGGGGCCCTCCTGGGTCCTGACCCCCTGCAGCTCTCCGCCCCACACAAGCTCAGGAAGGAGGAGCCACTCAGGTCACAGCGAGGGAGGAAAGGAAGGGGCCCGTGGGAACCACGCTTCGTGACCCAAAGGGATCTGGACGGGACCTACAATGCCCCCCATGGTGACTAGCTGTTTGCATTTCCTGGAGAGGAAAGCATGAATTAGAGCAGGATGTCATTTGGATAGGCCTATGGTTTAGAATCATTTTGCCAAGGAAATATGAGATGTTCTATGACCGTACGCTGGTTGAGTCAGAAAGAAAGACCGACCAGTACCAGGAGAGATGCCTTTTCCTTTCCTTCCCTTATGGTTTATGTCTGTGAACGCCAATTTCTCAGTTCGTGACGTCAGAGACAGGAAAAAAAATGCTCCATTTTCTTAAATGTGGTTTCTCTCAGATAAGGATCTACACGATTTTCCAAACGCAGTCCAGCGAGGGGCTGAGGGGCCTACAACCCCATAACGCAAGCCATGAAACTGGGCAGATACCTGCAGTTCTAGAGGGCTCGGGACGGTCACTGGACTCTCCGAGGGGTCTGTTATCCCCTCAAATGCTAATGCGTATGGTACGGGGTGTGAAAATGGATTTCCCCGCAAGAGGCACAGCACAGTTGTCGCAGTTCCAAAACGCATCAGGCCGCGAGGGGGTGGGGGGCGGGAGCCTGCCTCAGGCCCTTCCTTCGTGGGGAAACAACTCAGGCCTCGCAGGGCCGGGCTCGCAGGCCTGTCTGTGGGCCATCCGTTCTGTCAATCAACAGGTTTACTCTTTGCACATCACATTTCCTGAAATTACTCTACTGATCTCTGCTACCCTCTGGACCTTTATGAAAGGAGGGGCGGACTGTTTAAAATATTGATGTCTGGGGCTTTTCCCCCATTACTTCTGACTCTATTACACCGTGCCAAATCGAGTTTTGTATTAGATGTGAGAGAAAAAAAAAAGTGGGGATATGAGACTGTACATTATACATCGCATACAATTTTATAAAATACAAAGACCAGAAAGGAACGGATCAAAACGTTAAAGGGAGTTATCTGGTTGGGGGATTATGGCTCATTTTTAAAGCTATTTGTATTTAATTGTCCTTTTCAGGCTTTACACAATGAGTATTGCTGTGGAATGAATGTGTCCCGCCCAGAAGTCATAGTTGTGACCTAATAACGCCCCGTGTGACTGTATTTGGGACTGATGAGATCATGGGGGTGGGGCCCTCATGAATGGCCCAGCGCCCTTATAAGACCCCAGAGAGCTCCTCTGTCCCTTCCACCAGGTGAGGACACATGAGCCAGGAAGTAGGCCCTCCCCAGACACTAAACCTACCACTGCCTTGTTCTTGCATTTCCAGCCATCAGAACAAACCGTGAAAAGCACACTCGCTTACAAGCTCCAGGCCTACAGGGAGCTGTTACAGCAGCTCCAGCCGACTAGGACACATATGCATTTCTTTTGAAATCAGAACACAAAATACTTAACAATGGTAGAGTCATTACAGAAACTAAGCTGACAGATTTCCATATAGAAGAGAAGACAAACAAAAAACCCAGACTCTAAAATAAACAAAGACCAACCCAATGAAAGAGAACTATGGCACATTTTTAAAGCATTTAGAAATTTCTCTGTGTCGACGTACGTACAGTTTCAATGACTATAGTAGCTGAGAAGGTCTTCTCATTGATGGATTCTAAGGTGCCTTCATTCCCTCTGTAGCCTCCATTTAAAACGAGAATTCTTTTTCCTACAGCAGAAAAGAATATCACACTGAATGCAAAGAAAGGTTCACTTTTTTCTTCTGCTTTGTTACAGGAAAGTGCAGTTACACTGAATAAACACAACTGACCACTGAATGAAAACCAAAACCCCTCTTAGAAGTTCTTAATCATTTTAGAACTCCGTAATATTCTAAAAGAGAGCTTGTATGTCTTGATCACTGTTAGCATTTTAAGAATCCTCACGGGTTTTTTTTTTTTTTTTTTTCACTTATTTGTCAAAGGGATATGTTTTAGCTTTAGATTGCAAGGGGTAGAAGGTACTTAGGGGAAACGTCGATAGTCCAGAAATGATCAGGAAAAATTTAGCTTACTTTGGCTCCTTTTTTTTTCTCAAGAGAGAGAGGGTGCGTGAGCGGAGAGTGGGGGAAGAGAGAGAGAATCTTAAGCAGGCTCCACATTCAGCGTGGAGGCTGATGCAGGGTTCGACCTCAGGACTCTGAGATCATGACCTGAGCTGAAATCAAGAGTCGAGCACTAAATTGACTGACCCATCCAGGCGCTCCACTTTGCCTCTTCTTAAAAATCACAGGACGGTTTGGCAGTTTCAAAAAAATTTAAATACATCCTATGAGTGAGCCATTCTACTTCTAAGTATTTTCCCAATAGAAAAGAAACTGTATGTCTGTATAAAAACTTGTGTATGAATGTTCTTGGAAATTTTACTTGTAACAGCCAAAAAAACTATAACCAACTGAAATGTCTATCAAAAGGTGACTGAATAAACAGAAAGTGGTACAGCCATACAGTGAAACAGTAGTTAACAACAGAAAGAAGTGAGCTACACATACACATACACACAACAACATGCATGAACCCAAAAAAATGACGCTTAATGAGAGATGCTAGACCAAAACACAGGAAACATGGTATGATTTTATTCATATGAACTTCTCGACGGGAACTCCTCTGTCGTGATGGAAAGCAGACAAGTGGTTGCCTCAGGGGCCATGGGAGGCAGGAGCGGAGGGGTGGCAGGGAAGGATTATAAAGGAAGGTGATAAAATTTTCGGTGGGGTAATGGGTGCATTCATGATCACGATTGTAGGGATGGTTTTGAGACAATACTCATGGCTGTAAACTGATCACACTGTATACTTTATATGAGTACAGCTTACTGTGTGTAAATTACATCTCACTGGCGCCAAAAAATTTTTTTAAGCCATAAAGTGAGTTTTACTTTGGGGGAAAGCATAAAGGATCTGATAAGTGGAGGTTTTAGAGACTGACATTATCACCATACCAGCAATGACGCCACTATAAAGGCTCTGGGTCAGAGCCAAACACCCTAACCATAGCAGCTTCCATACTAGGTATTTAGAAGTACTCAAATGATAAAGACAATTAAGGAAAAGAAAAAAAAAAAACACAAAATACAATACAGACTTTTACTTTACTATCTCAGGTAGCTAGGGAAATAGATTAACAATAACTGTAGTATGATTGATTTTTTTTTCCTTGTGAGTTTGTGTTTTATGTCAGGAAAAAAAAAAGAAAAGAAAAGAAAAAAATGAATCCCAGGAAGGGAAAATGGATTCAGCCACAAAAGAGCTTACACAGAGGACTGGTAGGCAAACTCCCATGTCGCCGAAACGACGCTCATGAGTTATGCCAGCAGCTATATTCTCCTAGAAAGGAGATCCGTGTCTGTAACTGGTAAGTCATGCCTAGAAGCTGTGGGTTTAAGGATGGAATCACTCCTTTCGATAGCATACACAGTAAATGGTCTGCAAAAAGATTTACCTGGTGCTGGAATTACTGTTTCTAAATGAGTCTGGTCAAGTTTCAGCTTGTCTCCAGAGTCAATCATCTTTACAACAGCTGTGTATTTGTCAATTACTTCCTGTCATGTGAAATCAACATTTTATAACAGCAGAAATAAGTGCAACAAATTTCAAAGGACAGAAACAGGTAAGATGAAAACAAACGAATTCCAGTCAAAAGGTAAGAGTAACTCCTTTATAAATGACACTATTTTATAGATTCCATATATGACTACTCATTCTAGGCTTCTTTTTAACTTTAAAACTTTTATTACATTTTAATTTTAATTCCAGTAGCGTTCACACATGGTGTTATGTTAGTTTCAGGTGTACAATATAGTGGTTCTATGCTTCCTAATAAAGAATTCGGTTCAAGGCTTAGTGAAAGTTTTCGTCTGGAAAGAATAAAGGACTGGTTGGTGATCTCAGAATACGACTTCAGCAAATACAGGGAGAGGAAGAATGCCTAGCTTCAAGTACAATAGAAGGGCATTTCTGCATGCACAATGCTGGGTTCCAGGATGGAACTATTTAGGAACGGCAAACAGAGAAAAGGACTGGAGCGTTGACTTTTAAATTTTAAAATCCCAGAGCATAAAAGTTTCTCGGGCAAAACACAACAAGGAAGTCTGCCTGGGAACCCTGGGGACATAATCATCTTGCCCCTCCTTAACAAAGTGTCTCACTACTTGGCAAGGCACGCAGAGCGCGCGAGTGACTTGAAGCTGTGCCGGTGGGATTTTATACGTGCTATTTGCTCCAGAAAACACACCAAAGTGAACTAGAAACTATGGTTGCAAAGGAATCATTTTCCCAGCCATTATGAATTCAGCCTTCCTTTTATGGAAATGATAAAGACACATGGAACCATCAAGAACCCGAGATACAATGCTCCGGCCCTAGGATGTGATTTTTCAGGAATATCAGAATGGCTTGACTCGGCCACCCCCAGCTCCTTCCACAAATCCCATTCACAGCCTCCTGTCCTTACCTTCACAACACCCTTTTTCTTATGGTATTTCTCTCCAAGTTTCTTGGTTATAATTTTCACAATGATTTCCTAGAAAAGAATAAAAAAATAAAGATGAAAGGAAAGACATAAGTTAGCTTTCCAGTTTTACTCCTTTGCTCTAAACCATGTTCACCAAAAATCACAGCAAAACGTTAACTGCTTCTGCTAAATAAGAAATTTTGAGTTCCAAGCCTTCCCAATTATGCAAAACATTCCCTTATTGATCTCTTATTTCTTCTTTCTCCCTTTATTCAACACAGTTACCAGGAGGGAAAAAAATTACCTGTCTCAAGGCTGATTTCCACACTGAAGGTCTCTTGAAATCTAGGACTTTTATCTGTCAATCTCAACCCTATTAATCCACGTCTCTTACAGACAGCTTCTCTCTCTCTCCATTCAAGGAAGTGAAAAGGGCCAAAGGTATTACACCGTTGGTGTTCCCTGCTGATAAAAACTCAGATGGCAAGTCTCCCTGTGAATTGCAAGGAACTGAGCATTTGAGCTTTCGCATGACATTTTCCACAATGTTCTTTTCTCATTAGGTTACTCTGAATTTTTGAGACAGATGGGATTCTTCCAGATTAGCTCCCGCTAAAAGTATCGTTCTTCTGAACATCTAATTCTCCAATGGGAGAGAAATCCGGGCTTATTTCATATTAATGCATTCTGCGTTTGCTTCTTTATCATCATTTTCCTGATTTAGATTAGCTGTCTAGCAGCTGATCATGAAAATTCAATCGCCTGACTTCACGCAATAGTCACTATAGTGATTCTGTATTTGCTACTTCAAGTGAATGTAACAGAGGTACTAGATGGTCACAAGTAAGCCAATTAAATTTTATTAATCAAAATTCAATAAGGACTTTGTAGGTAGGATATATTATAGCAGAAAAACACACTTAAGAGAAAATATGAGTGGTCTTATTCTTAAGCCTCTAGTCTGAGAATCTAGGACTTTCTAAACGAAGCCACGTAATGCCAAAACAGCTTCTCTGATTTAGCCAGAGTATTTCTGGGCTAAATTTCTCAAAGGCCCTCATGGGTACACACTTAAAATCTGAAGCTAATTCATTACATCATTGGGCTTACTGATACTTGCTCACACAATAGAGCAGTTCAAGATATTTCTGAGTTTAAACAATAAACCCCTCTCCAGTCTGTGTGGACTACTGGTGATTTTAACAAACATATCGAGTGTTTCGACATAAGAGACACACTGATCCTCACTTTTAATGTAATACTCTGTAGCAGGAAAAACATTTGAATAATTTATTGTAAGAGAACCATCAAAGAGAAAATGTTAATTGAATTTAAAGTATTATCAATGGGAAGAAAATTCTTGGACTAAAACTTGGAACGCTTTCTCTCTTTCTTTTTTGGTTTCTTTTCTTTTTTCCTTTAAACCAATGAACGGGATATATCAGAATCACCTAGGAGGCTGGTGAAAATACGCACTTCATTGGATGAGATTGGAAGGTGGTAGTAATTTGGAAAAAACACTTTGCTAAAAATTTATGAATTACTCTCTGGGTAAGAATGACTGCTTTCAGCAAAATTCTTGATTATGTTTTCATAAACAATAATCAAACTATTCATAGTCACATGCCAGCTATTGGAATGGAGAAAACAAAAAAAACACGGGTGGTTTCTTCCCTTCAGGTCTAGCCTTTGCTGATCTTGACTAACCCTGTCCTCAGAGATGGGGAATCAGGGTGCCTGAGACACTCCAGGAAGCAGGTCTGCTGACCAGTTGAGGGCACAACCTACTGAATAAGACTGCCAGGGAGATCCTGTATCACTGCTTACTCTATGACCTTGGGGAATTACTGAAATGCTGATGGCTCAGTTTTTCTCACCTCTGAAATGGGAATTATAACAGGAATTACCTTATTGGGCTGACAGAAGAATTCATTGATGTAATTCATATACAGGACTCACTCGCTACTTAAAGCAGCGAGGATTTTCATGTCAGCTGACTTGCTTCCTGAGCCTTCACGTGGGCACTAGGTAGAAATGCCTCCCATGTAGAAGACCACAAACTAAGACATGGAAGTGAAATTGTTTTCCTGCTTATTAGAAGGAGCAGGACAATGAAGATCTGAATGAGAACTCTGGATTTCTGGACCTTCTTCTTAATCTTACTTTTGGAATCCAAACTATCTAAATGACACACACTCTCACTACTTTTCAGTCTCCTATTGTTGACCAAACCAGTTTCTTTCAGAAGCTTTAATGAAGGCAACCTGAGTGTCTTCTGGAAACTTCACATCTAGGCTCAAAACAGAGCATCAATAAATAATAATGTTTAAAATTATTTGAATGCTTCAAAATTATTATCTTAAAATAACATCAAAATAAATATATGAGAAAATACAAAGCTCTACTTGAGTTTGTGAAATTAAAACCAGCATTTTTCGACAAAGTTTCTAGAGGGAGATTCTAAGTTCAGTAAGCTGTAAGTTGAAAACAAATGCTGCGGCATTCACAGTTCTACTTTTCAGTCTCATTTCTGAAAACACAACCCATGTCTTATAGCAAAAACTGGAAATAATTCCAGGCTTAAAATCAAGAGGTCCGCAAACGAATCTGGCAGCAAACTGAAGAAATCTTACCAGCCTATACATGTCAAGTAACTCTCCAATACGGGTGCAACTGATCACTGAAGATCAGATAAAAAGAAAAGTCAGGAAAGTTATAGATCTAGCCATATGATTTAAGTATATTTGAGAAATTCAAGTCTCTTTACATGATTCACTTTTTTAAAAGCATTCAAGACGTAAGAAGCCCTAGCTGGGTACGTACAGGCTGTAGCCAGTGGTCTGTTCGGGCAGTTCTTTTCTTTTCCTCTTCGATCTGGAGAACACAGAAGATACAGAAGTCTCTCTTTAAAACCCTCAATTTATTTCAAATACCATTCTATGTAGCAAACACCATAAAACATACACCTCAAAGGAAATCCGTGTAATTTACAATAAGCTCTGACAAATACAAATAACCATTTCTTCCAATTTTTGATTCAAAAAAAAAAAAAAAAATTGGGGGGGCGCCTCTCTGGCTCACTTGGTGGAGTGTGTGGTTCCTGATCTTGGGGTTGTGGGTTCAAGCCCCACCAGGTTCGAGCCCCACACTGGGTGTTGAGACTACTTGAAGATAAAAATCTTTAAAAATGCAAAAAAAAATAAAAAATAAAAAATAAAAATGCACACACACACACACACACACACACACACACATATTCTTGGATTTACAAAAATCATGATAAAGCACGTCAACCGGCCAAGAAAATAAACACAAGCAACCTCTACGTAGTCAAGACTGCAAGGCCACGTGCCGGCGCTACGTCCCCGTCTCCCTGCTTCCCCCTGGGTGCCTGCCACAACCGGGAGACAAGCAACATTTTCACGTGATAAAAACACAACACTTCAAAAAAATTTTGCGCAGCGCGGTTAGTTCTACGGTGGTGGCCAAAAGAGGCTTCTCTGTTTGATAAGGATAATAAATCTTGTGAATGTAGGGCAGGAAAAACCTAACCACGAGAGATGGAAACACAGGGGTGTCCAAACAAAGAGCGTGGTCTGGCTACTGAGGAGACACGTGACGCCTTTTTCTTTCCTGACAGAGTAAGTGAACCCAAAGTCCCAACTTCCAATGGGACAGACGCTGCCATTTTTTGGTTGATAATAAATCCCACTTTAATGTCTCAAACTTTCCAATATGAACAAAGAACATTCTAAATTTAGCAGGTTTTTACAAAGCAGAGCCGTCTAGCTTCCCAATTTACTTTGAATTAGATTCAGGAACTTCCTGTCATGGCCTACTAAGACATGTTAAGATGTTGCTCTACCTTCTCTCTCAGACTGCGAATGCTACCCAGCTCCCGCACTCACCATGCTCCAGCCACGTGGACCTTTCCTTCAGGTGCCGGAATTCAAGATCTTTCCTGCCTTGGCACCTTTCCACAAGCTGTCCCCCAGGGCCCGCCCTCAGACCCCCTTAGCACTTAGTATTTTGTAGTAATACTGGTTCTCTTGTTCATACTCGTACTCACTGGCTCACTTGTTCATGGAATGTCTCTTACTAGAACGAAAGCCCTGTGACACAGTGGCGCTGTACTTTTCTCCCTACCACGGTGACACAGGACCTCGCACGATGCCCAGCACATAACAGCGACTCAGTATTTGCTCAGTGATGGAGTGACCACATCTCCCAGTACATTTTATACTAGACTCTCAACCGTTCAGACCACCTGCATAGTGAGAGCACCCAGAAATGGGAAAGAGCAAGCAGTTGCCTCTGTCCCTTCACAAATGAACAGGAGGGCTGGGGAGATGACTTTGCAGGAAAAAACAAGTCAGCTTCTTCTATCCATTTCTTCTTTCCCTTCACCAGTCCTTCTTCTCTTTCCTACTTACTTCATAAACGTACTGACAAGGGAAGGCCGTGTGTGGAAAGGGAGACGGGAAGATTAGAACCGCTCTAGCAGCGCAGGTAGAGTCAGAGCCGAAACGTGGCCCTAGATCTTAAATCATGGGTTGTCAAGGATTCATCACACAGGCTTAGCCATCAGGCTAAGTCAAATTAAAAATATGTCCTAGCTTCCTCTCGCTGGCTAGGAGGTGGCGGGTGAAGTCAGAGACCGAAGGAGAGCAGGGGCTGGCGGGAGGAATCCGCGGAGGAGGCCCATTTCACAGAGCCACGGAAAGGAAACAGAGCTTTCGTTTTGAGCTTCAGTGACTGCCCAAGCCCTTCTGCTTGAATTCCACTGACCATGAACACACGGAGAGTTCTGAAGACAGCACTTGAGGCAAGAAAATCAACGTGTGATGACGGATTCCAACTCTGCTCAGATGGAACCGTGGCCACGCTCCCTTCCCTCAAGGGGAAGGGAGTACATCTTCTGAGTACATCTTCTGACTTTATGTTAACCCAGGAATTAGTGAGACTAAACTTTCCTTAGTTTGAATTATGTCACTCCTCTAACTGCTAACACGTCGTCGATAAGCAGCTCGTAACTATACCTCCATGATTTCGTCGAGGGCAGATTTCTTTTTTTTCTTTTCTTTTGATTGAGCTGAGCTCCGGGAAGATTCTTTCCGTTTAACTGATGCTGCATTCCCAATGGTACTCAATGCGCTTGGTCCCAAGGAACTGGTGAAAAGAAGAGCCATGCCTGTTAACAAACCCTACGTATAAGAAGGCAGCTTTCGAACGTGCAGGGGAACAGTACAGAAGATGTCTGTTACATGATTAACTTACAAGAGAGTAGTCAAAACAGGAGAGGACCTGTCTTTAGGCCTGCAGGACCCTAAGCAGCATGAGAACATGTGACCTTTCCTGCCTTAACGCCCTCGTCCCTCTCCTCGCCCCTTCCCTTAGTGCCCACCGTGATCAGCACAGACCAGTGGTGACAATGCCGGCTTCGGCTTCAGGGTTAGGCAGATCAGGGTCTAAGGGGACTTCTGCTTCTGACCTTGGGTGATTTACTTTTCTAAGCTTTAGTTCTTCATCCATGAACGAGGATAACCATGTGACCCAACTCAGAGCTCAACTGCAAGGATTAAATAAGAGGTTGGCAATGAAGTCTAGCACATTGCGGTCAGTTCTATTTTTTGAAAGCAATCTCACCATGTCACCTAATTTCTGATGGTTCCTAACTGCCTAGAATTGACAGTGTAAATTGTTTTTTAGTGTGGTATAAAATTGTCACCACTGGCCCAAGAAATGGTATTTCTGACTTATTATATGCGCCAGCCATTAGGAATGACTTCTTACTGAGTCATGCCATGTTTTAGGCCTTTGTAAATCGCCTCTTTTATACCTAGAACAATCTCTCCAATTATCTCCATTTGTCCCAAGTCTTTAAGATCCATTCTTCATGAGGGTTTGAACTGCCATAACACTTGCCAGCGTGTATCCTATGCCACCTTGTATTATAATCCTTTGCATATATGATATGTACATATAATAATGCGTATATATTTGTATATACTTATTTTTTTCCTGTAGAGCAAGCTGTTATCTTGTGACTCACATAAAATACATGCTCAGTCAATATTTCAATGACTCTTACCAGTGTAATCATTTAGTTTGTCCTATTCGCAAAAGACAAACAAAAAGATAAATCCATGTACGAAGCTACCATGGAGATAAGCAAGACAGAAAGTGTGATGAACAGGAAAACAATAGAACTTTACTTGGACTCTTTTTTTTTTTTAAGAGGGGGAAGTGTGAGTGGAGGGGGATGGGGCGGGGCAGAGGAAGAGGGGGAGGGAGAGAGAGAGCAGAAGCAGGGGGAGCAACAGGCAGAGGGAGAAGCAGGCTCTCCGTTGAGCAAGGAACTGGATGTGGGACTCAATCCCAGGACCCTGGGATCATGACCAGAGCCAAAGGCAGACGCTTTACTGACTGAGCCCCCCAGACGCCCCCCAACGACTTTTCTGTCCAGGGGTCCAGGTCAGGACTCCCTCGCTCGGCCATCATGGCAGGCGTTCTTCATTCACCGAGCTCTAAGTTTTTACATTTACCCTTTTGAAATTTCACTCACTGGCTTTTGTCCCATAATCCAATCCTCTGAATAGATTTCTAAGTTCTGATTCTGTTTCTGGGACCCTTGTGCTCTGGTGTGGGGATGTCAATTGGGGCAGCTGCTGGGGCAAACAGCGACGCAGAGCCGTCAACCCGGCACTTCCGCGGCTGGGTCTCTCCCCAGAGGCACGGAGAGCAGGGACACAAACAGGCATCTGAATGCCAGTGTTCAACAGCACTGTTCACGATCGCCCAGAGGTGAGACTGACTCCAGTGTCCGCTGACTGAGAGGGAGAGGGAGAGGAAGACATGAAGCAAATGTGGTGCATACACACAAAAGGATATTATTCAGCCTCAAAAAGGAGGAAATTTCAACACGTGCCACAACACGGATGAACCCTAAGGATATTAAAGTGGGTGACAGAAGCCAGGCGCAAAAGGGCACTTGCTGTATGCTTCTCCTCCTGTGAGAAGCCGAGAACAGGCCAATCCATAGAGACAGAAAGCAGAACAGAGGCTACTGGCAGCTGGGGGCTACCTGGAAATGGGGAATTAAGTGTTTAATGGGGACAGAGTTTCAGTTTGGGCTGATGAGAAAGTCCGGGAGATGGATACTGGCGACGACTACATAACAATGTGAAGCTACTTACCTCCCCTGCCCTGTATATTTAAAAATGGTGAAAATGGTCACTTTATATGTATTTTACCACACCAAAAAAACTAAACTCCATAGAAAAAAAGTTTTCTCTCAAGAACATTTATTTGGCATTATTAAATGTCTACAGTGTGACAAGCAATGGGGATAAAAATGTGAATAGAACAGCCCATCAGGATCTCACAATCTCCTGTGGGAGACCAGACATGGAAGGACATTCTGGGAAGGGAGGACAGAAGATGTGAAGGCAAGAAAGGGTGAGCCACCATAGCTCATTTCGGACAGTGCAAATAATTCAGCATAGCTGGAGGGCAAGGGGCAGGAGAGACAATGGATCACAATGGTCACAAAGCAGCACAGACAAAAATGACAAGTTATTCCACAGGTGAAAGAAAAGGATTTAGAAAGATCCTCCTGCTTGCAACATCAAGATTCTATTAGGGCTAAAACGAATAAGGAAGAATGCGAGAAATGTTGGCAGAAGAAATTATGAAGGACTGAAGCCAGGAACATGGAAACCAAAGAAATGACAATAGCAAGAAAAGAAAAAGTCGGTATTCCAAAGATTAATAAAATAGCAAATCTGAGAGCCTAGATAAAAAGGATATTCTAGAAAAATCAAAATTGTATAAACTATTGAAGTTTGTATAATCAAGATTATATTGAGAAGTTGAATAAACTAATTAATTCCCTGGCCTGCAAAAGACACCAGCACAATATTTTACCAAGTTTTACCAAGCTTCCTTACCCGAAAACACGAGTCAAAAAAGAATACTTGTACAAATCATTTTAAAAGTAGACAATTAAATATCAATCTCATTAATGAACATTAAAATGCAAAACAAAATAGTCCATTTTTTTTTCAGCTGTGCATTATTACTAATAATTTTTTTTTTTTTGAGAGAGACAGAGAGCACCCTCCACCCCTTGCATGAGCAGGCAGAGGAGAGAAGCAGAGGGGGAGGGAGGGAGAGACTCTCAAGCAGACTCCCTGCCAAGTCGGGAGGCAGATGCGGGCTCGATCCCACAACCCCGAGATCACGACCTGAGCTGAAGTCAAGAGTTGGGCACTTAAGCAACCAAGCCACCCAGGCGCCCCAGCTGTGTATTATATATGTATTTTTAAAGATTTTATTTTTATTTATTTGACAGACAGAGAGGCAGGCAGAGAGAGCAGGGGAAGCAGGCTCCCCGATGAGCAGAGAGCCCGATGCAGGACCCTGAGATCATGACCTGAGCCGAAGGCAGGGGCATAACCCACGGAGCCACCCAGGAGCCCCAGCTGTGTACTATATTTGATCTTACTCTAGCTGCTCTAAGAATAACATCCCTCCTGCCCAAAGGTTCTATTAGAGGCTGACAAACCAATGTGGGTCAAGATGGGGCTCAAATCAAGGCAAGAAATGAATGGTAACAGATTGGAAATGGAACGTTTGCTTCTAGAACAGCCCTAGAATTCTGCTGTCAGGAACTGGAGTGGGTCCTCATGCAATTAAAGAAGAGAAGCCCCAAAACAGAAATGGAAAGCAAGTAACCTCTGTTCAAACACTGGAGAAGCAGGGCTTGTCTCTGTGCCTCAACATACGATCAAGTATCAATTCTTTATATCCAGAGGCTTCTGTTCATTCTGAGTTTTAGATAAGCAAGAGATATAAATCAACAGGAAAATAAATCTCAAACTCTATTAAAATAGTCCATAATCTCAGAAAAAGAAAATTTAGACTAGTCTTTCCATTGTATTACCTGTGACACTACTTATGAGTTATTATCGATACTGGAGACTGAACTTACAGAACTTAATCAAATAAAACTATTTTTCCTAATAACACCAGAGCATCGGGGAAAGAAGGCTAACTAGCAGACCCCAGAGGTCACAGGTCCTCATCCTTAGAGTTAATACATGTTACCTTATTGGCAAAAGGGTCTCTGCAAATGAGGTTTAAGTTACAGCTTCTGACAGGAGATTATTGTGGGTGGCCGGAGTGGCCTCTCTGTGCAACCACACTCATCCTTTTGGGAGGGAAACAGGCAGGCGTGACACATAGAGAAGGTGATGTGAAGACGGAGCCAGGAGAGACCGGAAGACACTGCTTCTGAAAACTGAAGGACGCAGCCACAAGCTAAGGAACGCCAAGAGCCAGTAGAAGCTGGAAAAGGCAAAGAACGCCCCCCCTCCACCCCCAGGCCCTCTGGAGGAAGCGCGGCTCACACACGGCTTGATTTCAGCTCAAGGATACTAACTTCAGACTTCTGGCCTCCAGAGACACAAAACACTTCTGTGTTTCAAGACACTTGGTTTGGGGCACCTGGGTGGCTCAGTCCATGAAGCGTCTGTCTTTGGCTCAAGTCATGATCCCAGGGACCTGGGATCAAGACCCCCACTGGGCTCCCTGGTCGGCGGGGAGTCTGCTTCTCCCTCTGCCGCTCCCCCTGCTTGTGCTCTCTCTCACTTTGCACTCTCTGTCTCAAATAGTAAAATCTTTTTAAAAAAGATACTTGGTTTATGGTAATTTGTTACAGCAGCCATAGAAAACTAATACAAGGGAGACCAGTTTGGGGGCCACTGGGACCAATTTTAACATTTATCTACACTCAGGAATAACAAACAATAAGGGAGAAACAAACGGGTATGGGTCCAAAATCATAAGGCACGTATGATTTGATACATGTCAATCTGTCTTCTAGGTCATATCCTACTACTACTTTGAAAAGAATTTTCCTTTCAAATGTACTGTATGTGGAACCCAATTAACCACCTTCTTCGTGTATCTAACACAGGTGTCAATTCTGAAACGTTTAGATCAAAGTGAAGATCTCTGGCCAGACATCCCGAAGCAGCTGTACATTGGTTCGATCTATTTCCTTCACATCTCCTGGCCACTTACCTAGCCGTGCCAAGAAGAACTAGCCTACAACTTACCCAAGAAAACCGAGTTAGCTCTTAAATAAACCACATGTTAAAATACTAAGTAAAATAGCAAATATCGGCCAACTCCAAACAAAATTCTGCTAGATGCCGGGAAGTACCAGTAGGAAGGCACTTTCCTGAGTATCTGTTGTCTCGTTTTATTTAATCTCCGTAACCAAACTGGACACGTTGTGTATCACAGACAGTGAATAAATATTTGGGGAAAGAACAGATAAGCACTGAAGGTGCAAAGGGAACAGAGGCACCTGACCACACGCCATGCCGGGGCTTGGCAAACTCCAACCTGAGGGCCAGAGGCAGGCTGCTGCCTGTCTTCAGAAATAAGATCTTACTGGAATACAGCCACGTGTGCTTGTTGACTCTCTGTTTGCGGCAGCCTTCTCACTCCGATGGCAGTCTAGTGATTGTGACAAAGACAGATGGCCAGTAACATCTACAGTATTGACTATGTGGCCTTTTACGGAAAAGCTCGGTCAGGCCCTGCTCCGCAACTACACCGGGCAGCAGGAAGGAGGCTATGAGTGCACGCCGACGGGCACGTGTACCCTCCACCAGGGGCTAAGAAGATGCGTGAGTAACCTAGTCTCTGTCTCACAACATCTTAACACCGTAGGCAGAACAAAAACTGTATCCCCCAGCTAATATTTAAACTCGGTGAGTGAGCTATGATAGAAAACTCAATAGCGTTACGCAGTGGGGACCGTTATGTGGAGAAGGACCCGCAGGAAAGCAACAAGTTGTCATGTGAGGCATTCACTCGGAATGTGCCTTTCCTCAGAAGCATCCTATCATCATGGACAGGTAAGGAAAAAAAATAGCTGCTAACAAACAAAACCAAACCACCATCAAACGGAAACAAGACAAGGGAAAACATTATAACCAGAAAAAAACAGTCCTGAAGCTTTTAAAATGTAGTCATCAGCATTTCACAAAAACTATCAAGTTCTAAGAGATCTGGTCCTGGAGCTCACCTGGATTTGGAGGACGTTGCTGCCGAACTACATGCTCCTTTATTCAAATTGAATGTAACTGGAAGGAAAAAATGATAAATTTTTTACATGTATATTTCATCATACATATAATAAGTATGTGTGTGTGTGTGTGTGTGCATGCGTGTGTGTGTTTCAGGAAAACTATAAAACTTATCAGCTAAGACCAAAATGTATCCACACAGACGCTCATGGACATTTTGAATAAACGAGAGCTGGAATGCTACCCAGCTACCCAGACACAATGACTTCCGGCAGATAATACTAAGCGATGCTCACAGAGCTGGGAATGGAGCTACCGGCGACGGCCTTGGCCACTCCCTGCCTCCACAGCTCCCCCTCCCTGTGCTAAGGGAACAGGACTCCAAGTCTGCTTGGGTGTGTATTGTAGCTCTTACACATGGTTTGGAGCTGGAGTCTGAACGTCTGTGTCCCCCTAAAACTGGTATGTTGAAAACCTAATGTCCGAAGTGATGCGATTAGGAGGTGGGGAGATTCAGGAGGTATTAGTAAGGTTCTTTTGCTCTAAACCAATCAGAATAATCCCACTTCATTTCCCAGTGACTGCTTCAGGTGGAGGCTGATATGGACTGGCCAGTGATATTCAGAAGGAAGTCTGCTGGCCGGAGGAGTGTTTTCTAGATAAAGTTTCCTTTTTCCTTGCTCACAGGGGACTCCGGAAGAGATGCCCTCTGTCGTCCTCTGGACAATGTGGGTGTGCATACAATGGCCAAAGTGCCTGCCGCCACCATGTGTCCAGCGGCTGACAGATGGCCTGGCATCCAGAACAGCTTTACTTCTGGGACTCTTACTCTGGCAACATATTTCCTTATTATTTAGACTAGTTTTAGTTGGTTTTGTTACTTATAGTTGAAGGCACCCTACCTGGTTCATTGTTACCTTTTCATAAACCGGTAAAAACAATGTATTCCAGACAGATTATACGTCTTGCCCCCAAACATGGCGCTAGTTTTTGGCAGAGCCGATATAAAATCATCCATATTAAAAGAGTAAGAAAAAAGTAAAACCACCTTTTTCTTCGTCATTTTCTCTGCTTAATTCCGTAAAAATAGGGGCCTCCTAAAAGGCAAAAAAAAAAAAAAAAAAAAAAGAAAGAAAAAAGAAAAAAAGAGGATGATGGTTTGGTTCACAGTGCATTTACTATCAATATTCAAGAGTCCCAAATTATGACTTGCTACCCATGTTGCAAGGCAGCTCCAACATGCAGCTCTGAAATGGTTTAAGATCCAGGCGCCTGGGTTGCTCAGCTGGTCAAGTATCTGCCTACGGCTCTGGCCATGATCCCAGAATCCTGGGATCGAGTCCTACGTTGAGGTCCCTGCTCAGTGGGGAATCTGCTTCTCCCTCCCTCCTGCTTCTTTCTCTCTCTCTCTCTCTCTCTCAAATAAATAAATGAGATCTTTTTGAAAAATAAAATAAAATGATTAAGATCCTAGTTAAGAAATTATATGTACTGCAAATATTCTTCAACTGAGAATTAGTCCAAAGGTGAAAAAAGTGGCTTCTTTGTACCACATTGCAGAAGATTACCCACATTTTTATTTCTACTACAGTTTAAACAGGAAACAACATAAAACAATAAACCTTAAGAATTTTAGTTAGAGGATGGGGCACCTGGGTGGCTCATTGGTTAAGCATCTGCCTTTGGCTCAGGTCATGATCTCAGGGTCCTGGAATCCAGCCCCACATCAGGCTCCCTGCTCAGCGGAGGAGTCACTTTCTCCCTCTCCCTTCCACTGCTCATGCTCTCTCTTGCTTGCTCTCTCTCTCTCTCTTAAATAGATAAAATCTTAAAAAAAAAAAATAGAATTTTAGCTAGAGGATTACTTTAAAAAGCAAAACCCTTCTATACAGTGGGAGAGTTTAGTGTAAGATCAAGAGACTAAGACTAAATCACACAGAACCGCAGATCAAACCCACCTCTGCACGTTATTAGCTTCGGCACCTGTCAATCTCACCATCTCCCTGTACCTCAACTATTCTGTCTATAAAATAGGAATACTATGCACATCTAGAGGTGTCATAAGGATAAAATAGGATAAAATAAAGGAAGCACTTAGCATAACGCCTGCAACAGGGTTTGATAAATGTTAACCGTTATTTCTACTAGTAAAAATGTCTTGAGATGCAGCTGAGATATTCTTTTCTCCATTAGGATCTCATAAAGGAAGGCGAAAGACAAGATGCTACATTTTAAAAACTAATAATATTTAAGAATGCAATGAGGAAACACTGAGCAGTAGGCCTTCCTCTGCCTTTAAGGGGAGGATGCTATTTTTATTTAAAGAGTGCAAATTCACTTGAAGATTTTAGTGGAATTAAGCTAAAATGTTACAAAAGGTAAACGAATTTCCTCCATATAAAATGTGATCCTTCTTAATTTCCACAAGAGGAAATTACCATTTTCCCCCTACTGAAAGCAGAGGTTTAAAAATGAAAAAGGTGAGTCAATTTCAGGAATAAAAAGCTTTAGATCTGAGGCGCCTGGGTGGCTCAGTGGGTTAAGCCTATGCCTTCTACTTGGGTCGTGATCTCAGGGTCCTGGGATGGAGCCCCACATTGGGCTCTCTGCTCAGCGGGGAGCCTGCTTCCTCCTCTCTGCCTACTTGTGATCTCTGTCTGTCAAGTGAATAAATAAAATCTTTAAAAAAAAAAAAAAGCTTTTAGATCTTAGGCAAGGGTTTAAATTTGACAATTACAGCAGTTTAACCATTGTTTTACTTTAATACAGAAAACTCCTAAAAGACTGTGTGAATAAATGCATATGAACACACGCATATGGAAAGAGTACCATTATAACACGCGCACCCATCACTTATCAAGGTCAACTAACATGGTATAAAAGCTGACTCATAAACAGATCTTCACTTTCTTATCGCCGGCTACTTCCAGCATTGCTCTGTACTGAACAGCTTCTATCAGACATGGACATTAATGATCAGAGCTCCTGTATTCACCATAGCCAAACACTGAAAACAAGCCACACACTTCTCAACAGGAGAATGGGTAAGTTGTGTGATAGTCATAAAATGGAACAGCAGACATCACTTTAAAAAAAGAGTTAAACACTGACAGGAAAGAACACAGGTACAGGAAACATAAAGAACGTTCTGTTTGAGTTCAAGAAGCCAGAGAGGGTATACGGTACAATCTCATTTCTACGAAGTTCAAGAATACACTAACAGATAATCAATAGTGCTACGTTAGAACCCTGGTTCCTTCTTGGGGGAAGGGGGCTATTCACTGGGAGTGACTGTGACTCTGGAAACGGTCTGTATCTTGATCTGTGGGGGTCACTACACAGACTCTGCATCCAACTACTTCCATCCACCCATCTAAAGACACATCCACGTGTAAAATTTCACTGAGCTTTAGTCACCTTAAGAGTAACGCCCATCATGCACTTTATCACATGTATTTTATACCACAATAAGCTTTTTAAAAATACTAAATGGCTAGTGGTTCACATATATACTAGGTTGTTTTCCTGCACACACATAACTTTTGATAGGTAAACACCATGAGGCAGGGAGTTTTTACCTTTTGTTTACTGCTCTATCTCCAGTGCCTAGAAGAAGGCCTAGAAGAAGGGAGTACCCAATAAATGTTTGTTAAAATTAATGCCTTACTCTAGTTATGCCAACACCTGGACCACCTGAACCATGTCTTCCTCCCCCATTTGTCTGCGTTTTGCCCATTGCTTTTTCAAGCCCAGGGGTAGCTACCTTCAGAGACTCTGCACCCTCCCCAGGCTGGGGGGAGTGCTGGATCTCCGGGTTCCCACATTTTGTTTAACCGAGCATTGCAGCCAAGTGATGTGATCTGCTCTGCCCCCCATTAGCTAACCCCTCTGCCTTAGGGATAAGGAAACCGAGTGATGTGATCTGCTCTGCCCCCCATTAGCTAACCCCTCTGCCTTAGGGATAAGGAAACCGAGTGATGTGATCTGCTCTGTCCCCCATTAGCTAACCCCTCTGCCTTAGGGATAAGGAAACCGAGTGATGTGATCTGCTCTGTCCCCCATTAGCTAACCCCTCTGCCTTAGGGATAAGGAAACCGAGATGTGATCTGCTCTGTCCCCCATTAGCTAACCCCTCTGCCTTAGGGATAAGGAAACCGAAAGTTTAGAAGATTGTGTAATTCTATAAGACCATGAGGCAGTAACTTAGGAGTTGAACCCAGATTTGTCTCAACTCCAAAACCCATGCTTTTACACGCGGCCACGTTCATTCTTCTCTTAATTAAGGAACGAGACCTATAAAATTAAATTCAGTGCTTAAAAATTTTGTTTGAGACCTTTTCCTGTTGCTTCCTGGAATGATACCGGTGCTCACCTGTTCTTTCCCTTCCAGACCTCTTCTCACTTGCTCTTGAATAAATTTGGCTGTTTTTTCCTCATCGTCAAGGTCCTGCTTCTTCTTTTTCTCCAGTTCCAGTTGCCGGCGGATAGTTTCTGGGTCCCTGTCTATGTACTGAATATACCAGCCCTTTGGGGTCTCATCCACCTTGCACAAACCTGTAAAAAAATAAAAGATTAAAAAATAATAATCATTTTAAAACTTTAAACATTAAAAAATAAAAGATTTGCGTACAATCAAAACCGAAAGTACACACAAATGTGTTTGATCTCTGCATCATGTGTTTATTCCTTCAAACACATTCAAATACACGACTTCATGCAGCCCACAAATTTTCCATACTCAAAGCTGATGACACTTAGATATTTTAAGTGGAATATTTTACCTCCTTAAACAGAAAAAATTATTATTCTGATTTTTCACTAGCTACGTTAAGTCAACTATGTAAGCAGGGGAAACACATGAAAGAAGTATCATCTTGCTTAGTGATTATTTAACTGTGTCTCAGTAGTTAACGTCCAAGAAGAACATGATATTCTGCTAACTTAACTAAGTAGAAATTTTCCCCATCAGACGGAATAAAGGAACACACCGAATAAGTAATACATTGACACAAAATTTCTTTCTCCTCTCTTCCTAAGCTTTAGCCTAGGAAGATCAGAAATGGAATAAGCTACAACAAATTGTTAAAGAACTCCGTGGGGTGCCTCCACAGCTTGGTCGGTGGTCTGACTCTTGATTTCAGCTCAGGTCGTGATCTCAGGGTCATGAGATCAAGCCCCATGTCGGGCTCCCCACTCAGCATGGAGTCGGATTTAGACTCTGTCTCCCTCTGCCTCCCTCTGCCCCTCCCACTTGTGTTCTCTCTCTCTGTCTCTCTCTCAAATAAATAAATACATAAATAAATAAATATTTTTAAATATTTAAATATTTGTTACCTCCTTAAGCAGGGGTAACAAAGGTTTCCAAAAGTAAAATGAATAAGGGGGTAAAAAACGGGAAGGACTGATAGTAATTCTTACCCCAGATGAGAGGATGCTTTGGTGATACATCTTTGCACGATCAAAAGAACCATTCCAGACACTCCATATTCAAGTGTAACCCACAAAAATCAATCCTGGAAGATTATGCTCCTCTTGGCCAGTTTTTAATTGCCCTATTTGTCCAAGTTTCCATAAATTTACATGGAAATTATGACAACGGTCTCACCTTGCCCTGTAGCCACATAACTACTAGTCACATCGTGTCTTACTCTTACCTTCTCTGCCCAGCCACTTTGTAAAATCAGTGAGAGTCTCCCACTGAGTGGCATTCATATGGATGTGTTCCCGGTGGCTGATATACTCATTATAAACGATGTTGTTGTGAACTCTCTTAGTGCCTACGAACAAAATACAACACCGTCAATCCTGGGCAGGTTACAACATGATGATGTTACTATATGCACAACACCAGGATGCTTACCAAAGCGTCTCCTGAGAAGTTCTAGAAAGTCATTTCGGAATTCCCTAATAAGGAAAGGAAAGAGAGCATTATGGCACTTTTACAAATATAAAGCATCACTTCTCTGAAATATAAGCCACCATACAGTTTCAATGTCCAATGATACATGAACCATCTGTGTGAATGTCTGTTAAGAACCTTTAAAAGCTGAAAAAGGAAGGAATCCCAAAAGACTATAGCTTTCAGGAATGACAGGTCAAAGTCAGTCTGGAGGGAAACTGTCAGCGTTGGCAGAGCAGCCGTAACCAAAGTGACTACACATCTTTGCAGAGGTTCCTTCATCAGGTCTCTTAGTGCTACTGAATGTGGCATAACAACACTGTCCTTTTGATGGTAAAAAAAAAAAAACAAAAAAACTTCCCTTATTCCACGGGAAATTGGCACTCACTGTGTCCCTCTGCACTGAGTACACTGTGTTAAGTGTACTTAACACAGGTAAACATACGTGAGTAAAACACAAATCCTGACCCAGGTTACAATCTAGCAGAAGCAATCATAATAGAAATCGAACTGCAAAAGAGATGTAACAAAGTATCAGGAGAGTCCAGGGAGATCCCTAATATGGGCAGCGAAGTATAAATAGGGCTTTAGGGGCGCGTGGGTGGCTCAGTTGGTTTAAGCGTCTGCTTTCAGGTCAGGTCATGGTCCCAGGATCCTGGGATCAAGCACCACATCGGGCTCCCTGCTCAACAGAGAGCCTGCTTCTCCCTCTCTCATTCCCCCTGCTTGTGTTCCCTCTCTCGCTGTTTGTCTGTCAAGTAAATAAATAAAATCTTTTAAAAAATAAAAATAAAAAACAAGTAGGACTTTAGAGGTGAAGAGAAAGAGAAGACCTTTCCCAGCTGGCAGAGACACGAAAGTGTCACACTTGGGAAATGAAAATCTAATTGAGCTGACGTTGAGAGTAGACATAAATGGGGGACGAAGTGGGATAGAATAGAATAATGGGGCGTGGGTGCAAAACACAGCTGGAAAATACCGGTACGGCTCATCTTCGAAGTATCTTTAATGTCATACTAAAGAGGGAGGGTTTTATGCGTGCGGTGGAAAAGCACCAAATAATTTACCGAGGAATTAGTCTGTGAAAATCTGTGATTTAGAAAGATAATCTTGTGGAAAGTATAGAATAAGAATTCTCAAAGTGTGGTTCCCCAGAGGAGCGGCCCTCACATCACCTGGGAACTAGAGAGAAATGCTAAGTCTCCAGCCCCACCAGAACCTGACACTATAGTCCCCCGAGCCCTCCAGGTGACTCGGACCCGTGTAGAGGTTTGTGACCCACGGGCATAAAGCATGATTGGGAGGAGCAGAAGCTGCAGCTGGGAGCCCAGTGAGGAAATCATGGAATTCATTTGGGCAAGAGAGGATAAGAACTATTATTACTAGAGTCTTGACAATGGAGAGCATGCAAGTTTAAAGGACACCGTAGAGGAGAATCGATGAGGACTTCCCAGCCTGGCAATCCAGGTAGGAAGTCATCAGCCAGCCCAGGATAATAAGCAGATGTGGTGGGCAGAATACTGCCCTTAGCTTTAAAATGTTGGCTCTGTATTTAGAAATACAGAACTGTGCAGGAAAAAAAATCTCCAACTCAAGACAGATGTTAGGAACAAACAGTAAGACCGAGGAGTCATCCAACATGAAGTTTTAACAGCTGGAAGAATGATAGGACTCCTGGAGCCTGTGTACTATGGAGAAAAGGAAGCCAAGTGGGCACCCTGAAGAATGTTCTTGCATCTGAGGAGCTGGGGGACAGGCAGAAGGGTTAGGGAAGACAGTAAGACAGCAGGATGGTAAGCAGCGGGAGGAGGAGTAGGAAAGAATGGAAAACAGAGACGTGTTTGTGGACAGTTAAGAAAAGATAGAGGAAGATGGAGAGAGGCACAAGCGACCCTTCCGGAGGCTGCCGGAGGTGGAGGGCAGCTACCGTGGACACAGTGGACAGGGCTGGGGAGGAGGCTCCCGTGCGGATGGCTCTTGCCAGAATGGTATTTCCCCAAAGGTGGCCTGTGGAGCCCAGTGGTGTTCCAGACAGTTGTGTTTTTTTTTTCCCCCCATTTTTTCAAAAAGATTTTATTTATTTGGCAGAGAGCAAGAGAGCAAGAACAAGCAGGGGAGCAGCAGGCGGAAGGAGAGGGAGAAGCAGGCTCCCCACTGAGCAGAGAGACCAATGTGGGACTCGATCCCAGGACCCCGGGATCGTGACCTGAGCCAAAGGCAGTGGCTTAAACCACTGAGCCACCCAGTGCCCCTCCAGATGGTTTTGGGTGGTTCAGATAAATCCTCTTTGCCTTTTTCACTGTGCTCCTTGCCTCGATGGCACAAAAGCCATGCAGGGCGAACCTGCGGGCATCTTAGCCAAGTGCAGGCAGTGGGTGGTGAGGCCACAGTATACTAGCGGTCCAGGTCTTCTTCATGGGCAGGCGCTCGCAGTGAAAGTCAATGTCAGTCTCATCAAGAATGTCCTTGACAGGGTTGGACTGGGTGGCTCAGTGGGTTAAGCCGCTGCCTTCGGCTCAGGTCGTGATCTCAGGGTCCTGGGATCGAGTCCCACATCGGGCTCTCTGCTAGGCAGGGAGCCTGCTTCCTCCTCTCTCTCTCTCTCTACTTGTGATCTGTCTCTGTCAAATAAATAAAATCTTGGAAAAAAAAAAAAAAAGAATGTCCTTGATAAAGCAGTATTATTAATAGTATCACAACTCAACCTTTGGGGCTCTGTCTTTCCACCAGCCTGTGTGATGAACTGGGATTATGAGTTAACCACTTCTGCCGCTGGACAGTGGTTGTCGTGAGCAAATCACTTGTGCCATTGTTTGGGCCACGTGCTGAACTACCTTTTCCACAGAGCACCACTTTGTTGGAAAGAATGACTGACAGATCAACCATGATTATTCCAAACTGGGTATTTAGTAGACATTTTCCCAAACATAAACAAAGGGAGCGTTTTCATGTCAAGGAAAACAACTGACGGTATTTTTGGCCAATGATAAAATTTGGGCTTTTGAGCAAAAATCTAAATCTGGCAAGTCAGCATCAGCCACTGTGAGTCTGATGTACTTTCCAAAACTTCAAGACATTTTCTGATGACACTGATGCTGATATTAATAAATATGATTTTATGCTATTATGTAATGAAATGTGTCACCATTCTGAATACACAGTGAGCTAATATTTTACAAATGACCAGTGCATGATGATATAAAATCACACACAGGTATGAGAAGTACAAAGTGAAAGATCAGGGGTTCATGATGTAATAGGGCACAAAAAGTTTGCTGATGTGGTTTCAGATTCCACATTGCAACTAATCTTTAAGAAACTACCATGCCAGGGAGGCCTGGGCGGTTCAGATGGTTGAGCCACTGACTCTGGATTTCAGTTCAGGTCATGGTCTCAGGGTCCTGGGATCGAGCCCTGCGTCTGGCTCCACACTCAGTGGAGAGTTTGCTTGTGGATTCTCTCTCCCCTTGGCCCATCCCCCCACTCAAGCACAGGTACACACACTCTCTAAAAGAATAATAAATAAACCTCAAAAAAAAAAAAGTTTAAGAAACTACCATGCCATTGTTTTGATGTAGTATCAAAGAAGAATATGCAAAATCATCTGAAAAAGGCTATTAAAATATTACCCCATTCCAGCTCTACATCTATGAACGGGGTGGGCTTTGTGTTTCCCAAAACATTTTGAAACAAACTGAATGCAGAAGCAGCTGTGGAATCCAACCATCTTCTATTAAGTCAGACATTGCAGATTGGCAAAAATGTAAACAATGCCACTCTTAACCTTTTTTGTTTTAGAAGAGATATGCTCTTTAAATTAAAAAAATTCATTTATCTTAACATGCAATAGGTTTCTTGTTTTTTTTTTTTAAGATTTTATTTATTTATTTGACAGATAGAGATCACAAGTAGGCAGAGAGGCAGGCAGAGAGAGAGGAGGAAGCAGGCTCCCCGCTGAGCAGAGAGCCCGATGCGGGGCTCGATCCCAGGACCCTGGGATCATGACCCGAGCTGAAGATAGAGGCTTTAACCCACTGAGCCACCCAGACGCCCCTCTTATTGTTATTTTAAATAAATTAATAAATACATTAATTTTTCATTTTTAATCTCTAATTTACAAATATCAATGTACCACTATCAAGTATCAATATCAAATATAAACAAAAGCTCTTTGGGTTCGTCAATAATTTTTAAAGGTGGAAAGGGGTCCTAAGACCAAAAGGTCTAGAACTTTGGAAAGAAAGAGATAGAAGTAGAACTGAACATTAATAGTAATAATAATTAACAGCTACTAATCGAGTACTGGGTACTCTTCTAAACACTTTAGAAATATTAACTCATGGGGCGCCTGGGTGGCTCAGTGGGTTAAAGCCTCTGCCTTCGGCTCAGGTCATGATCCCAGGGTCCTGGGATCGAGCCCCACATCGGACTCTCTGTTCAGCAGGGAGCCTGCTTCCTCCTCTCTCTCTCTCTGCCTGCCTCTCTGCCTACTTGTAATCTCTGTCTGTCAAATAAAATAAATAAAATCTAAAAAAAAAAAAAAAAGAAATATTAACTCATTAATCTTTAAATAAACTCCATAAAATAAAGGGAACACTTGGAAGATGATGCTGTTTTTAGTCCCATTTTACAGATGAGCAGACAAAAGCGCAGACAAATGTAAGTGGTTCAGCCAGTCACATAGCTCCTGAGTAGAGAAGCCTGGACTTGCAGGGTTTAAGGCAGATGGTTTGACTCCAGAGCTGTGCTCTGAGCCACAACTGAGTTAGGACAAAAGATAGTTTTTCAGGTTTGAAGTGCAAGACTAAATTGTGAGAAGCACTTCTGCAACAATTCCATACTATGATAAACTGTCAAAGGAAAATAAAATCTGAGCACAGGGTACTACAGCTATCGTGCTAATGTGTAAGGAATGGACACAGCTCCCAATACAGAAAATACTAAGCATCTACTCAGTATCCGACTGAATAAAGATCATGAGGAAAAGATGTCTTTAAGTTACTTACTCTGAAAAATAATCCATAAATTGCTGAGGATTTTCGGAAGCGAGCAAGAGTTGTCTCTGATGAGATTCAGACATACAGTGACATTTGAAGCCATTCTACAAAAATGCAGAGGTAGCAGTTACATTCTGATTTAGGTCATCATAAGGGGCCCTAAACAGAAGTATTTAATCAACCCTAAAAAGCTGCTCTTTGATGATAAATTGTAAAGAAAGAAAAAAAAAAAAAGGAAAAAATCACTAGCTCGAAGCTCACTGTTATTTTTATTTAAAAGTTTTTTACGAGGTTGAGTTACGCAACACTCCTAATCAAAGCATAACCCCGGATTACAGAGACTGAAAAACAGTGCTTTGGAAAACTGACATTAGTAAGAAATCTGACAGAAGAGTGACTTTGTTTTTCTGTGACTTTGTTTTTTAAATCACTTTAACAAATTCTGTTGAGCACCTACTTCATGTAGTGTTGTGCAAGTTCTTGGAGGGATGGAACGAAGGAAAATGGGCCAGTAATGAATTTCCATTAAGGGGACTATTTTCACTCTACTTTAGTTCATTAACCAAAATACACTGCAGCATATTACAGAAACCTTATTTAAATACACTAAACCTGCATCTTCTTCAGACGACTATGAAAGAGTTACAAGCTTTGGCTTTGTATCCATCCGGCTTAACATTTACACCTTCTTCTTCATAGAAAGAGAAATGGGGCGCCTGAGTGGCTCAGTGGGTTAAAGCCTCTGCCTTCGGCTCAGGTCATGATCTCAGGGTCCTGGGATCAAGGCCCGCATCGGGCTCTCTGCTCAGCAGGGAACCTGCTTCCTCCTCTCTGCCTACTTGTGATCTCTCTCTCTCTCTCTCTGTCAAATAAAAAAAAAAAAAAAATCTTTAGAAAGAGAAATGAAAAATGCATCTCTCCTCCTGTATTCCCGTTTCAGTGAACAGCACAGTCGCACACCCACAGTGAACCTTAGAGACAGGCACCCTCGAGTCGTCCTCTAGGTCCACCTTCCGCGTATCACTAAGCCCACTTAGCCTCCTCCTGAAGAATTCTTCTCCTGTCCCTCGGCTCAATCCCACATCATTAGCCTGATGTCACCACTCATCTTACTTAGCTTCCTAAGCTTTGGTTGCCTACAGACTACCCACACTGCTCCTGCCCCATCTGTGTAGTACCCGTGAATTACTCTTACTTAAATGTACCTTAAAAGGAGTGAATTACTCTTACCTAAATGTACCTTAAAAGGAAACTTAGTATCAGTCTCATAAATGAAAAAAACAGTACTACTTTCCATAAATTGAAAATAAATCAATAAAATGGAAACAAAATGATGTTACTAAATTCTAGAAACCCATGAGAGTGGATGGGCAGGAGGGGATATTCTGGATCTGACCACCTTCTCCCTCAATCTTCCAACACTGAGAGACAGGGAGACCCAGGAAGATTTTGGAGGGATCAGTTTCTCCTCCTGCAGGTCATTCTCCCAGGGAAGGAAGGCAATGAACAGACAGGAGGGCAAACAAAACAGAACCACCACCAAGTGTCTTACTCTGAAATTGGTAACCAAAGGGAAAATTAAGCCTTTATCTTCCTTTTCCCACTGGAACTATATTTTATGGCAACATTTAAGGATCAAATAGCCCTAGTTAATGAGAAAAAGGACATTTTTATAAAAGAATGGTAGCCAATAACAAATTTAGAAAAATATAAAAAAACAACCCCTTTGCAACTCTTAAGACAACAATGGACTACGGCAAGGATGCTAAAACACCTAAGTAAAAGGTTGATGAGAGATTAGATATACTCCTTACTGGTAACTCAATCTTGCAAAAGGGAAAATATTAATTTCTACTGTTACTTTGCAGGCCAGCATATTTACTCAAATATCTTAGCACTATCAGGTATTATGGGCTTCCTTATGTGATGTAATAGGAAATACAAGGGATTGCCTATGTAGCAGTCTTCCCCAAAATATTTAACCCGAACCTAATCAAGCCTTCAGATCTAAGTTCCAGTTTACAGAAACTATAAGTTAAAGAAGGAAGGTGAAAGACAACCACAAGAAAACTTAGTTGTTTCATACCAGAAAGTGGCAATGCTCCAAGGCAGTTACTGGTCTAATCTCTTCAAGTCAATGTCAGAAAAACGACAGCAAATTGAAAAGCACAGATACGGGGGCGCCTGGGTGGCTCAGTGGGTTAAAGCCTCTGCCTTCAGCTCAGGTCATGATCCCAGGGTCCTGGGATCGAGCCCCACATCGGGCTCTCTGCTCAGCAGGGAGCTTGCTTCCCCCCTCTCTCTCTGCCTGCCTCTCTGCCTACTTGTGATCTCTCTCTGTCAAATAAATAAATAAAATCTTTAAAAAAAAAAAGAAAAAAGAAAAAAGAAAAGCACAGATACGGAAGCAACTCAAGCATCCATTGAAAGATGAACAGATAAAGAAGCTGGATGAAGACATATACAATGGAATATCAGCCATAAAAAGGAACGAGATTCTGCCATTCGTGACAATATGGATGGACCTAGAGAGTATTATGCTACATGAAATGAGTCAGAGAAAAGCAAATTTCATTATTTCACCTATATGTGGAATCTAAAAACAAATGAATAAACAAAAACTATAAATAAAGAGAACAAACTGATGGTAGCCAGAGGCGGGAGGGGGTGGGAGGATGTGCAAAACAGATGAAGGGAAGTGGGAGATACAGGCCTCCAATGATGGAATGAATATGTCATGGGAATACAAAGTACAGCATAGGGAATATAGTCAATGGTTTCGTAATAATGTTGTATGGTACAGATGATAGCTATACTTGTGAACACAGCATAAGGTACAAACTTGTTGTATATACATAAGGTATAGATCATGTTGGACACCTGAAACTAAAGTGACTAATGTGTGTCAAGGATACTCATATAAAAAAATTAACTAAAAAAAAAAAGAAAAATAACTGGGTTTTAGGGGGGCGGTAGAAAGAGTAAGAGACATAAGTTCTATACTCAGTTTAGAATTGAGAGAGAATTAAAAGTCCTAATAACCCAACACAGAGATTTTTAAGGAAACAAAACTACTCTGTATCTGTATGATACTATAATAATGGACATATGTCATTATGTGTTTGTCCAAACCCACAGAATGTCCAACATCAAGAGTGAACCCTACTATAGACTTTGGTCATGATAATGTGTCAGTGTAGCTTTATTGATTATAACAATAGTACTACCTTGTTGCAAGGTGCTGATCATGGGGAAGTTGTACATATGTGGGGCTCCAATGTGTATGGGAAATCTCTGTATCTTCTACTCATTATGATTGTGAACCTAAAATTGCTCTAAAAAAAAATCTATTTTTTAAAGTCCTAATAACAAATCCAATTCATAGCTTTTGATTTGATCTTGGTTTGAAAAAAACTTTTAAAAAGCATTTGTGGGAGCAAGTGAGGACATGTGAATATGGAGTGTGTATCAGATGACATAAGAGAATTTTTGTTGGGGCGCCTAGGTAGCTCGGTGGGTTAAAGCCTCAGTCGGGTGAAGCGTCTGCCTTAGGCTCAGGTCATGATCCCAGGGTCCTGGGATCGAGTCCCACATCGGGCTCTCTGCTCAGCAGGGCGCCTGCTTCCCCATCTCTCTCTGCCTGCCTCTCTGCCTACTTGTGATCTCTGTCTGTCAAATAAATAAATAAATAAATAAAATCTTTTTTAAAATTTCAAAAAAAAATAAAAATTTAAAAAAGAGAGAGAATTTTTGTTAATTTTGTTATGTGGGACGATGTGTATTGTGGCTATGTAGAAAAATATCCGAGTATCTTAGAGAAGCATACTTAAGTATTAGGAGATGAAATATCCTGATGCTTGGAATTTACTTTAAAATATTACTGAAGGGACGCCTGGGTGGCTCAGTTGGTTAAGCGGCTGCTTTCGGCTCATATCATAATCCCAGGATCCTCGAATCCGGTCTGCACTGAGGAATCCTTGCTCAGCAGGGAGCCTGCTTCTCCCTCGGCCTGCCCTGCCTGCCGCTCCCCCTGCCTGTGCTCTCTCTAACAAATAAATAAAATCTTAAAAATAAGTAAATAAATAAAATGTTTCTTAAAGAAGCAAAGACAGGTCAAGTTACTTAAAATGTTTAATATGGGTAATGGATATATGGATGTTCACTGTACTAGTCTCTAGTTTTCTGTCTGAGAATATCACCTTGACTATTAAAAAAGAATGAACCGGGGGTGCCTGAGTGGTTCAGTGGGTTAAGCCTCTGCCTTCCAGCTCAGGTCATGATCTCAGGGTCCTGGGATTGAGCCCCACATGGCATCCGGCTCTCTGCTCAGCAGGGAGCCTGCTTCCCCTGCTCTCTCTGCCTGCCTCTCTGCTTACTTGTGATCTCTGTCAAATAAATAAAAATAAAATCTTTTTAAAAAATAAATAAAAATTTAAAAGCATGAACTGGAGAGATATGAAAAAGAAAAACTGCATCAGTGTTATTCAGTATAAGTCCTACTTCAGTATCTCATCCCTGGCTGGCAGAAACACTGGAGTAGATTCTCCCAGTTACCCAGCGTTCCTCTGCAGCTGCCCAATCCAACTCGATCTCCAGAGAAAAATATGATCCTGTCACTAGCTTGCTCTCAATTCTTCAAAGTGCTTTATCATCCACCTCACTAGTGAGAAAAAGTATAAACTCCAGTGCACGGCATACAAAACTCTCTAAGATCTCCCCAGAGACCCCTCAGCGACTGTACGCATAATCCGCTGATTTAAAACTCACAATCTTACCGGTAGGTACAACTGTTACTTCCACTTTACAAGAGAAGCAAACAGGCAGAGGGAAATGGAAGCAACTTGGCGAAGACTACACAGTTAGGAAGCGGCGCGGCTTGGGGTTCAGGATTCTGACAGTCTGACTCCCGCCCACGAACCTATCCACAGTAATATCCTGGGCCTGGCACACTGTGGACGCCCCATAAACACTCGTTAGGTGAGCACTGTGCCAGGGCTCAGTTGTCCTTTCTCATCTGACCCCGAAAAGAGTTGTGAATCCTAACCATCCTGCTTCTCTTGAGTCGCGTCAGGTCAGAGACGACTGTTACTGTTCGCCCCCGGGCTTCCGGCACCGCACTATCCAACGCCCCCGTTTTCGGACAGCCGGAGTAGCATCACGTCTACCAGATCTGCAAAACCTTTTCTTACTTCATTTCTTTCCGGAGGAAGATCGCGGAGGAAGGAGGTGTCAAAGACCACGGTTCCCCTAGGATGAGGGCTGCAGGTAAGGCTGGCCCTACTGAGCTGAGGAGCTGACTCGCGCAGCGCGGAACCCGGACTAAGGGACCCGAGATCCACTCCCTCAACCCCAGCGCCAGGGGCTTGAACCAGGATGTCCAGCAGGGCCCCATCCAGGCCCGCTTACCTCGTCCCGACACTGCTTCTGACACATCTGGCAGTACCAGCGCAGCTTCTGAAGCCCCTTGGATTTGATCCTGTTGGCGATGGCCTTTGGGGTAAGAAAATCTGACTTCCCCATCGCGACCACGACAGCTACAACTTCGCTGAAACCCAGCGATCCGCCAACCGGAAGCGGAATGAAGCGGACGAGGGGGGGTGGGCGGGACAAATACCAGCCGCGAGCCGGAAGGAGGTGGGGCTTCGGGAGACTGAGCCCCGCAACGCTCGCGACGCTTTCCTCCTTCTGGCGGGAGGAAGCGAGACTGAAGGAGAAAGCCGGGTGGGAGGGCGCTTGGAGAAGGTCCCGCGCAGGCGCGGTGAGGCCTGTCTGACCGACCTTCAGCCGGGCCGGTACCACCATGTTCTCTCGGGCGGGCGTCGCTGTGCTCTCGGGCTGGGCAGTGCAGCCGCAATGGTATGGCCGCTTGCGAAGGGACGGGAGGGTTACGAGGAATGGAGGAGCTCGGTGAGGGGAAGGAGGAAGCGAGTGGAGGAGAGTAGGACGGGACAGGGGTCACAGGGCCTGCGAGGACCCCTGTCCCGAGGAGGCCCCGGGAAGCTGGGGCTGCCGGAAGTCCCTCCGATCTGGGAAGGGTGCACAAAGGGGCTGCGGTGACAGCAAGGGCTCGCCACGTCTCCTTAGGCGGGGTGGGGTGAGGGCCACGAGGAGCGGTCATCTGGGACCTCGGGGTTGAGACTTTAGTCCGAACTGATTTCAGGGCGGTCTTGGCTTCACTCAGCTAATGCATACTTATGGGGGCCCTGCTGCGTGCCGGGCACAGGCGAAGACCGAGGAGGCTGTCCCGGGCCCACAGAGGGGGAGGGGAAGGCCGAAGGCAAGGTCTAGGGGAAGGTTAAGCTGTGCTTTCTGCCCTTGACGCCTTTTGAAACCCTCTAGTGTTGGGCAGGGTTTGCATGGACCATTCAGAGCCGTTCGGTTCAGCCGGGACGTGTATTAAGCTCTTACCCCGCAGCGCGGGCTCATGGCTGGCCACTGCTGTATAAAATACGTGCCTTCGTGGGCTCGTGGTAGTTCGGGTGCGAGAGGGACCCCAAAAGTCCGTCCGATGGCGATCTGAAGGTAGAGACACCTAGCACTGTCTTGAAACCATTGTGTTGAAGCAGTAACCCTGCAAGGTCATGAAATGGTCCCAAGGTCCTGAGGAGATGAGATGGCTGTCAAACGCGGTCTGTGAACGGCCGTGCAAGTTTAAGGATTTTAAACATCGGTTTCCGGGGAAAAAAAAGCAAAACCCTGCGTATTAGAAGGCCAAGCAATGGGCAGATAAACGTTGGTTTGTGGGTGGTACCATACAATAGGATGAAATGTCTTGAAGCGAGACAGTCTGGAAGAATTTCAGACACGGTGCTAAGGGGATTATTGGCCAAAAGCTGAGTGTCGCAATGCTTCGGTTTCACAGTAAGGAAGAATTCCGACGAGCTGCAGCGCAAAAGTAGATTTTGTGTCCTAATTTTCTTGCGGAGGGAATGTATAGCCTTAATGGAAATAGGTTCGTTTTTCATTAAGCCAAGAATTCTTAACAATAGAGAAGAATTTTAGGGTAATGAGGTAATGAAATCGGATGTGAATACCTACAGAAAACTGTCGATGGATTTGCCTTCAAAGTCAGATTTTTTTTTTAATATTGAAGATGAGTATTCATGGCAATTAAATCACGTTAGTTGGATTCTCAGTCGTGTAGGTTGTCCCATTTGTTAATCACCCAGCACGCATTTGTTGGGTGCCTGTCCTGCCCCAAGTTGGTACTGTGGAAAGTACTAAAAAGTCGTGGTAAACAAATACATATGGTCTTAGCTTTATGGGACAGTTTCTGGCGTGCTCAGCAAACATCAGCTCTCCTTCCCCTGTTGCTGTGCAGAGATGTCACCTGTCAGTATTTTTACCTGAGGTAGTATCCAGTGGAAAGAGTTTCTGAAACTGGGACAAAATATTTTACATAAAATTGTAGCAGTTTAAAAAAAAAAAAAACAACCACCTTGTAAGGCAATTTTAAGATCTTAAAATAAAAGATAATTTTAAGTAAGAGTAGTCTGACATAACTGCTTGGCTCCTAAGTTAGAACCTACCTTGACAGATAGAGGTTGTAGTCCTGACCTTGACCTTAACCTTTAGAATGTTGGTTTAACCTGGTAGGTTATGAATATTCATCAAGCATTGAGGGAAAGCATTTTTGCGTTATTCTGTTATTCCAGGTCTCCTGTTGCTTCCCACTCATAATTGCCCTTAAAATTCAGAAATGAAACCCATCTTAATGTTTCACACTCCACAGAATTAATTTGGAAGGGGAGAAAAAATAGCTTTGCTTTTACAGAACCATAAAGGGGCACTTCCTCTGTTCTGTTTTGGTTATTGGAAGCTTTAAAAATGCAACTTTATATTTTTACAGGTTTTGTTTCAGGGAAGTTAGCTTACTGACATTAGCTAAATATTAGGCCCTATTAAAATCTTAGTGAAGTTATATTAATTGTTTAGGGTATCAGTAAAATACCCTAAATTTTGGGAACTTGTTTTTAAGTAGCATTTAAGAAAATGGAGATAAGGAAGACAAGTGTGATTTTTTTTCTGTCTTCAAATCAGGGGAATATACATTACTATTTCGTGTTCCCCATTCTCTAAAGTGGAAGTGTTTTATGGTAGCAAACCAATAGCCATAAACTATATACGCTGAAAAGGGAGGGAGATGGCACTTCAGGAGACAGAAGGCTGATTGCATCCCAAAATTGAGTTGGTAGATGTTTACTTGTAAAAGTAAAAAAAAAATGTGAGGCATCAGGGTGTGTAGTGTAGGAGATCCACCTACTTGGGAGCCAACTACCAGGATTTGGATCTCAACTGCCACTCACCTGGCTATGTGACCCTAGACAAGTTAGTGTCTCTGCCACCATTTCTTCATCTGTTAAATGGAGGTAATAATAGTGCACAGTTCATTGGGTTACACGAAAGTTAAGTGAGTCTGTGTTTGTACAGAACAGAGGTGGTAGGGTTGAAATGCTGGTGTGCATCCAGAGACAGGAACTGAAAACTGTAAACAACATTATGCAGTTCCTACATAAAATATAAGAAGGTTTATTGTTCTTGCCAAACAAGACTGGATCATGGGTGGTCGTGGGGGAAGAAGTGCCAGGGAGTTATTTTTTGGTGGACAGGCAGGTGATGGACTTTCATACAATCATTTATTATTGGAATTAGACCTACTTCATCATTTTCCCTAAGAATTAGCTGCTGCTTCCTTAATTTTTATATTTATAAAGCAGTATATACCTTAACAGTCTTGCAAACTCTGTACTTTCTTTGAGGAATCCTTCCCCCAGCAACCTTGCTGGCTCCCTTCTCTACTACTTCTCCTAGTTTTGCTAACACTGCTGTATGATCATAGTAAATAATGGTAATCCACAGGGGCGTCTGGGTGACTCAGCTGGTGAAGCATCTGCCCTCGGTCCAGGTCAGGATCCTAGGGTCCTGGGATCCAGCCCCACGTCTGCTCTCTGCTCAGTGGGGAGCCTGCTTCTCCCTCTGCACCCCCCCACCCTCGCTCATACTCTCTCGCTCTCTCTCTCTCTCTCACACACAAAAATAAATAAATAAAATCTTTAAAAAAAAAAAAGATAATCCACAACTCTGACTTTTCTGTCCACTGTGTCTGATATGTTTCAGGTTTCTCCAGTAACCTCCCAAGGATTTCTTAGGACTTGGTGCAGTTTTCCAGAACAAGTAGCTGATTCAAAACTTCGTGTTTTCTTTTGCAAAAATTACATATTCAGTAGGGCAAGCTGCCCCTAGAGAGAGTTGGGGTCAGCTTATGGTTATTCTGTTGTATGTACTCAAGTTGTACTTAAAAACAGAATAACATCGATGTCTTTAGAACTGAGTGAAAGCTAAACATGAGAGCACTTCAAAGTAGGAAATTAGGGCTTGTGCCAGCATAAAAAAATCACAGATCTACCTCTTCATGCCTCTCACTTGGGATATTTGTGGAAACCAGAACATTCTGTGTTCATCCAAATATGGCATGGTTAGATTTATTCCCTGATATTCTCTGACTAGAAACTTATGTCCGTTAAATTGGAGTATCCTAAATCCATAATGTCCAAATGTTGCTCCTCATGTTCTGTACATTTAGATTGGTCGGAGTGAAGAAGTTGATATGCCCCCCCCCCCCCAAAAATCAACAAATGATGTTATTTTCCATTATGAAAAGATGTTAATGGGATGGTTGGTATGTCAGGAAGTGTGCTCTGAAGTCCAGAGCTTGGAAGTATTTGACCGCTTTTATCTTTTCCGTTAGAGGATCCATTCTTATAGCTAAATCTAACATTTTTCTTGTAGTCTCTGTCCTCTTCTGTCTTTCTGTCTGTCGTCTGTCTCCTCTGTCCTTCTTTCTCTATGACTGCATAATACTAGTAGTAAGATATATAAGTCAAGAGATTATTGGGGCGCCTGGGTGGCTCGGTTGGTGAAGCATCTGCCTTTGGCTCAGGTCATGATCCCAGGGTCCTGGGATCAAGCCCCACGTTGGGCTTCCTGCTCATCTAGGGAGCGTGCTTCTCCTCTCTTGCCTGCCACTTGTGCTTGCTCTGTCTCAAATAAATGGATAAAAACTTTTTTAAAAAAAAGAGAGATTGTTAAAAATAATGTTTTATGATCTTTCAGACTTTTTATGCACATAAATACATACAATCACAAAAATGGGATCATAACCATAATTTTATAATATCCTTTTCTGAAGATATTGTAAAGAAGCTTTATTTTTTAGTACAGTTTCAGATTCCTAGAAAACTTGAGTACAGAGAGTTCTGTATACCCACATCCCACTCTGGACAGTTTCTCCACTTAAACCGTATTTTGCATTGGTGTGGTATATGTACCACGATTAATGAAACTGTACTGATACGTTATTAAGGTACGTGGTTTCATTAAGGTCATTTTTTTTTTTTTTTTTTAAAGATTTTATTTATTTATTTGACAGAGATCCACAAGTAGGCAGAGAGGCAGGCAGAGAGGGAGAGAGGAGGAAGCAGGCTCCCTGCGGAGCAGAGAGCCTGATGCGGGGCTCTATCCCAGGACCCTGGGATCATGACCTGAGCTGAAGGCAGAGGCTTTAACCCACTGAGCCACCCAGGCGCCCCAAGGTCATTCTTTTTATTGTATATTCTGTGGGTTTTGACAAATGCATGATG